CAGCTTTGGTCAATCAGTTGTTGATCATAACCAAAAATTTTTTGAATGGAATGAAATAAAATGGAAAATATCACAGTGCTTAGAACCTAGGAAGGATAAGCAGTATTTGATAAGACTAATTCTAAGTTATATTCACACACGTATGGGCGGGTGTGTGACTACTGGGTCACAATGAGGAGGGTACCGCTTACCAGGGGTTGCCATCTTTGTTTACGCTGCAAAGCACTGAGCTAGAACTTGAACATCTTCACTATGTCCTCCGTTCCAGCCCTCTCCAAGGGAGGAAAAGTAGCCATCATTTCTTTGCCACCAAACCAAATGAGCACGACAGAAAACGCACATGCTATTGTCCACGGCTCCCAATCAAAATAATTAACAGCTCTAAAAGTTCATTTGCAAAGAACTGACCTAAAATAAAGTCCATTCCAGGGATAAAAGGGAGAACTGGTTAGGAAAAAGAGATTAAAAAAAAAAAAATTCTTGAGAAGAAAATACTTTAGGAAAAAAAAAATCCCTTAAGTCATTTTTAATCTATCCTCTAAATTAAAAGTAAGGCTCCGAATCTAAATCTCTAATTTCTAAGTCACACTCGTCCACTTAAACATCTCCTTTGATATCCCACTTTGTTTCTGCGAATCATCTGAACATGTCCATATAGTGGCTTTTCAACAGAATTTTTAAAAATTGAAGGAAAAATCATTTTAAGAAGCCACTGGCTAGCATTTAAAACATCAGATAAAGAGCCTGACCGTGACATTAATTTTTTCTTTATATTTAAAATACAAAAAGATAATTGTGGACCATACGTTATTTTAACAAATAAGACAGGCAGAAAACTTGACAGAAATAAGTTATTCAAGGGACCTTCAGGTCATATGAAGACTTTTCGTGCTGCTACACAAAATACTCCGAAGATTCCATAATCTTATCTCGTCACACTAGCAAAAGAACATCCACGTTCAAAGAGAGAACACTGACACAAGAACACAGAAGAAGACATGAGGCTGGAAACCCAAGGTTCAACTCCAATTGTGCCACTTCCTATCTATGTGAAATTGGGAAATGCATTTAAAATCTCTGCTTTGGTTTTCTTATCTATAAAATACAGATAATAAAGCCCAACCTACCTGGCAGAGCTACTGTGAAGATCAAAACTGAATATACATGGAAGCACAGAGTAAACTGCAAAGTACTTTACAAACATGAGTTTTTATAATTTACTAAGATGCCCAGTTCCATAGCTGACTCAACACCTGAGCCAGCCAGGAGTCTGTGCTCTCCCTTCTCAAACGTGCCTGGCAGTGTTTCATTCCCACACAGGTCAAGTGTTAGGCAATGCACTGTGTCATAATCCCAAATCCTTACCACATCAGGGAAGAGGACATCCACTGGATTTCCTTCATTGTAGCCAGGATGACCAGACATCCCATTCATCCTGGTTTGCCTGGGACTGTTTCAACATTAGCATCCCTTTTCACTCTCAACAGTGCCCCAACTTGAATAATAAATTATCTGGTCACCCTAATTACAGCAGACATAAAGTTGTGGCACCAAGAGGTGGCAAGCGGCTGGCCTTAGGACTCCCACTGTACTTTCCAGGAGCCAACTGAAGGCCATCCCAAACAAACAATGCTAGCACCAACAGCAAGCTTACCGTGCAGAGCGAAGCCCTTCTAACTGCTCGCTGCTCCCAAGCCCCCATCTAAATGCTCTGGAGGTTACGCACACGAATATTTTCCCATCTAAAACATGACAAACCTACAAACACTCCAGCCTTAGTCAACACTCAGGAACTTGCATAATCACATGAACATACACAGCAATCACAGAGAAACAGTGAGCTAGGAATCTAAACCACCGCACAGTATCATCCTCCTAAAACCCCACATGGCCTGAGATGGAACAGCCAGCCCTTCTGAGCTGGCTTCACCTCTGTAAATCTGGAACAGGGTTTGTCTCCTCCACTTGCAGAGAGAGACCACACGAGCGAGCACAGAGAAGTGCTCAGAGTGCTTCATAGAAGCAACGGACTGCCATCCCAGAAAGCTTGTTAACTGAGTGGGAATGGAGGCTGAGGCGACCTGGCATAAAAAGCAAAACCTCTACAAGGTGGCAGGTGTTCTTTTCCTCCTCTCCCTCACAGGTTTTTAATTCAAACATGTTGCCGGAGGCTTACAGAACAGGATGAAAGGGTCACTAAAACAGTGCCATGCTGCTCCACTTAGTGCTAAGGAACTTGGTTGTGATAAACCTTAACCAGGGGCATGGACTCCTAGAATTACAGCTGAGCTTTAAGGGGTCTATGAAGCCCCCAAAAGGTACATAAAGTAAGGTGAGTGAGCAGGCACACACGCACATGCCCACATTTTCCCTTGGGTGAGTCAATACAGAGGAAAGGGCCCTCAACAAACAGAAGACAAATTCCAGTTCTTATTCAGCTACTAAATTGTACTGTCACCTTGGACAAGTCACTGTGCGCCTCAGTATCCTTATCTTTCCAAAGGGAGTATCTGCCTTATCTGCTTCAAAAGGTGCTTGTGAGGATGAGATGAGAAAGCATTGATGAAAGTACTCTGCAACAGCCAAAAGACTGTAATTTGTATCTCTTTTAAAATCACCATTAAATGCTGGTAAAAATCCTGTTTGGGGTTGGTTCCTATCTATTTAAAAAGGAACAGAAAAAGAATAAGGAAAGCAAATAAAGACACAATTAAAATTCACCTTCACCCCATTCCCCGGCTCCTGGATTTGCCAAGCTAAACCACTCTAGGCAGATGTAAAGAGCACAAGTTCAGTTTCTGCCCAGCTCAGGCTGCTCAGTGACCAGTGTTTCACACCGATAAATGCCTCCCAAATCTCAAAGCACAAAGTGAGAGTTCACAAGGTTAGGCGCATTAATTAGCAGCACTCATTTGGATTCCGTATTCACCAAATACAACAAGCAGCTATTCAATATTTGCCTATTTGCACTTCTCTAAGATCTTTAATTCAAAGATCCAGCCAGAGAACAAAACAAAGCCCAAGAAAATAAACTAAAATAAACCTGTCACCATCAGAATGTGCCTCAAAGTAAATTAGCAGCTTGAAACCACGGCAAAGGGTCTACATAGGCCTACAGCAGAGAGAGTGTGAGTAATAAACGTGCAGGTTGCAGAAGTGGGTCCCTTCTACAAAAGAAGGGAAAAATAAAGTAGTTCCAAGCAAAAAGACTACTTTGCGTGCTTTAACAAATTCCTCCTAATTCTTTTTGCTTTAGTTCCTTATTGATCTATAATCCCCAAAGGAAGAACACAGCATTATATGGTATCCTTTCAGAGTCTTTTAAATTCAGTAAGTCTATTCCCATGCTTTACTTCAATTAGTTTTACCTTCCTATATCTAAAATAAGCCTATAACCAAAATAAGCAGCATTTTATAAATAAATATTTGCATTACTATGCAAGACTAGATTAAGAGACTGACCACGACCCCTTATATCGCAAGGGTCCTAGGTGAAAAGTACAAGGTGAAACAGAAAATGTCACTCCTTCTAAAGCAGCCCATAGGATGGTTGCAGTTCTCGACCTTGCCTGCACCACAGAATCATGTGTTGGGATTTCTAAATATTTGACTGGCTAAACCCAATCTTAAAGCTACTCAATCAGAATCAAGGACGGGGGATAGCCCTCCACGCAACAGTATTTTTTCTGATGTATGGCCAGGTCATAGAGCTACTGTCAAAGGGCACAAATTTCACAGCTTACAGAAGCTCTAGGGCATACCCAAACCAGAAAGAAAGAAAAAAGTCCTTCGTATTCTCTTTAGATTTGGGGTAAATGACCGTATCTTTTACCAAAAGCTTCTATAGGGACAATCTTCAATTCCAATGCTGACTATCCCACTGGGAGACAAACAAGACTTTTTCTCTCCCTTTTTCTCCATACCCTACCTGGGGCCAGTCTGATGTCAACCCAGCACCAAAAGTGCAAGAATTGGGCAAATACTCTCAAATCTGGAAGGCCTCCAAACAGGTGGGTATTGATTACAGGGCCATGCTAGTTTTTAAGATCAGTTTCACGGGCTTTGATGAGATTCCGTTAATTTCAGGAAAAGGGAACGACGTCAAACCTCTGGTTTAGCACCGTGATGGCACATATCCCTCAGACAAGTCTAATAATGGTAACCTTTTTGTTTTCCTATAAGGAATGGTGAATAGGCAAGCAAGACATTTCTAGGAGCTACCCTTTCACATCCTCTGAAGAATGTCACAATTCTCAGCCAGCAAGGAGGTAAATTCCAGAGGCGAGGTGCTTGTGCCACACCATTTCTCTGAGGCAGCCTGACCTGTTCTCCTACTCTAACTGCTCCAGCCTCACCTGCTTAAGGCTTCAAACAGCAAAAGGACAGGGAGGCATTTTATACTCTCACCTAAACCACACAGAGGCTGTCTCGTAGGAAGCAGTCCTGCGCTAAGCCACCACAGGGTCTGGGGTTTTTTCAGTCGTCCACCCTATCTAACAAAGACAGACAGCAGAAACTTCCCTCTCTCAAGCAAGCCTTCCCTGATTAAAACCATAAGACTGAATTCCCCCAGGGAGGAGAATGGAATTTTCTTGTTGCAGATTATTGTAGGACTCAAAAAATCTCTGCAAGCAGGGCCTCAGTGGCAGAGAATAAAGAGACAAGTCCAGCATTTAGAATTATGAGGCATCAAGAAAACCCAGTTTAAAAACTATTATATAGCCTGGAGAAGCAAAAACAAAAGCAATTATGACTGTGCTTGAGTGATTTTTTTCCACTATAATATCCACAATTTCAATAATGTGATTATAATACTTTTCGGATTAAGAAATATATTTTATTTATATCTCTAAGTGTAAATTCATTGCTGAAACTAACCATTTCACTCTCCAAAATAAATAATTTCAGGAAATGTTGTCTATCATAGCATCCTTAGGTAAAACACACATACACATAGACACACTCACACATCATCTGAGTTACAAATAGCAGATACCAACCTGGCTGTCCCGTGCTGGGAATCCATGATAACCTGGGGTCAGAGGCTCGTTCTAAGAGAAAGAAAAGAAAATCAAACTATAAGACAAAAGAAAATGTTAAGAATAATCAAAATCATCCAAATTGATCAAATAGAAATTCCTGCCCAGTTCCGAAGATGTCCCATGGTTATATTCCACTCTACCTAACTACATCAATCTTCCAGTCCAGCCTCTACAATGGCAAAAACCAAAAACAAACAAAAACCATCCGCTTAGGAATACTATTCATAAACACTGTTTTCCTCTTTGTACAACTAAATCTGTCTCCTTCCCAGTATATCTCAAACAGGGAGTTACTGGGATTTGGGGCAGAAGAATTTAACTTGGCACTGTAGACCTTTAGCACTGCAGGCCCCCAGCCACTAAAAGCCCATAGCACTCCTCAACACTAGAGCCACCAAGAACATCCGCACATTTCTAAAAGTCCCCTGACTGGAAAGGGGACAGTACTACCCCTACTGAGAACCTCCTCCTGACCTGGAGAAGTTTTAGCCCCTTCCCTCTATCAATCCGCTTTCCTTCATTTCTCCTAACCTAGATGAAAGTCTATCTCTGTTCCAGACTTCCTCAACCACCCCGCATCATCCTACGGACTCCAGTAATTCCTAACACAGACATAGGTTAAAACTTACTTAAGTTGTTGGTACAATTTACTTTTCACATTACTTATGACTCAATCAATCTTTTTTTTGTAAAGGTGAATCATATTGAGTGTCTCACTTCACATTAATCATTAAATCAACATCCTTGAGGACAAGAATGATAGCTAATAAAGGCTATGCAAACCCTAATTTAGTATGAGGTCACACAATACAAGCTCATTCATGGATTACTTCACTCATTCAATCATTCAATCAACATATATTGAATACCTAATATTTTCAAAGTACTGGTAGATGAATGACAGAGTAAGAAAGATGAATAAAACAAGGCCCTTGCCTTCAAGGGAACTTTTAAATGGGAGGAAATATACGTGCACACAAAAGTGTAAATGAGAACACAAGGTGATTCTGTGATCCTTTCAAAGTGCTCAACAGCGCTACCTGAGAGACATTCATCCTCTTCTTCCACCCATTTGCACTTTCATTCCTACTAGCAGAATAACAAGTTAAAAAGAATTTTCACTGATAGGACTTTCACATCCTAGGTGAGAGTAAACTTTCCACCTGATGATAATATCTGCTTTGATTATATCCATATCTTTAATAATCAAAAATCCACACTCCTTTCAAAACCACAAAAGCCAGGAGTCAACTTACGCTCAGTGCAGAGACCCTGTATCTTATTTCTCATGCTTTCCCCGCAACCTAGCACAGCGTTAACATATGGTGGACACCCAAAACAATGTGTAAATGAATAACTGGAGTTCGATAACCAGAAATTCTTTAGGCATTGAGTCAGTGACTCAATCACAGACAATCCAACTTCTCCTTTTTTTATTCCTAAGTCTCTATTTTGGACATTTCACAAATTAAGTCACTCAAAGAAAGCACACCAAAGACAATTGCCTTAAAAACTTATAGGTGCCGAAACAATCTTGAGAAAGAAGAACAAAGCTGAAGGACCTATACTTCCTGATTTCAAAGTTTACTACAAAGCTACAGTAATCAAGATAGCGTAATACTGGCCTAACGACAGACACATAGGTCAATGCAATACAATTGAGAGTCCACAAGTAAATCCTTACAGTTATGATCAACTGAGTTTTGAAAAGGTGCTAAGAAAATCAATGGGGGAAAGAACTGCCTTTTCAACACATAGAGCTGGGAAAACTGGGTGTGCGGCACGTAAAAGAAGGAAGTTGGAACTGTCTTACATCCCATACAAAATTAACTCAAAATAGGTCATACACCTAAAGCCATAACTCTTAGAAGAAAAGATAGGAGTAAATCTTCATGACCTGGATAGGTAATACTTTCTTCAATATGACATCCAGACACAAGTAATAAAGGAAAAAGATAAACTGGACTCCATCAAAATTAAAAGCTTTCATGCTTCAAAGGACACCACCAATTCTGGGGAGCTAATGCACAGCACAGTTCCTACCGTTAATAACACTGGGTCATACATGTGAAAGCCGCTAAGAGAGCAGATCTTAAATGTTCTCACTACAAAAAAAGAAAAGGTAATTTTTGTGACATGATGCAGGTGTTAGCTAACACTACGGTGGTAATCACTTTGAAATATATAAGTGTATCAAATCAACTTGTACGCCTTAAACCTGCACAGTCGTTTATGTCAATTATATCTCAATAAAGCTGGGGTGGAAAAGACACCATCAAGTTACTGAAAAGACAACCCAGAAAACAGGAGAAAATATTTGCAAATCTTATGTCTGATAAGGGACTTGGATTCAGAATATTGAAAAGACTCTTACAACTCAACAACAAAAAGACAAATAACCCAAATTTTAAAATGGACAAAGAATTTGAAGAGGGAGTTCTCCTAAGAAGATATACAAATGGCCTGTAAGCACATGAAAAGATGCTCAACATCATTAGGCAAATCCAAACCAAATCCAAATGAGATAACACTTCACATCCACTGGGATAGCTATAATCAAAAGGTCAAACAATAACAAGCATTGGCAAGGATGTGGAGAAACCGGAATCTTGTACATTGCTGGTGGGAATATAAAATGATACAGCCACTTTGGAAACAGTTTGGCAGTCCCTCAAAATGTTAAAAAAGAGTTACCAGGGGCCAGCCCAGTGGTATAGTGGTTAAGTTCGAGTACTCCACTTCCGCAGCCCAGGGTTCACAGGTTTGGATCCCAGGTTTGGACCTAGCACCGCTTGTCAAGCCATGCTGTGGCGGCATCTCACATAAAATGGAGTAAGACTGGCAATAGATGTTAGCTCAGGGCCAATCTTCCTCACACACACACAAGAAAAGTTACCATATGACCCAGCAATTCCACACCTAAATATAATCAAGAAAACTGAAAACACATGCCCACACAAAACCTTGTACATGAATGTTGATAGCAGCATTATTTGATATGTGAAAGATGACATGAGTAGAGCCGTATTAAAACAGAGTCAGAGCAGCCATTTCAGAGGAAGTGCCTTGCATGTCTTGTTTTCTTGATCTTCCAAACTGGACCAAACCGCCAACATTCCAAGAAGGCAGTAAGGACAAGAACAGCCTGTCTGTAAGGCCTGATGAAACTGGACTTTGCTGATGACCGAATTGCTAACCAATCAATGATGAAGGACAAGGCGAGCCTTACCTCACCTAGTATCAGCGAACTCTTCTTAAACACAACTTAACTCACTTTCTTCCCTTTTTCCCAAAAAAAAATCATGAGCCCCTCTCCTGTAATCGGGACACTATTTGTGTTTCTATCTGAATCTGTGCTCCCCAAAATGCAATTCTTTGATCCCAAAATAAATGCCTCTCTACCTCTCATTTTGGCTCTCTATTTTCAGGTTAACACCTAATAGCCAAACAGTAGAAACACTCCAAATGTCCATTAATTGATGAATGGATAAAGAAAGTGTCGTATATCCAAAATTGAACATCATTCGGCAATAAAAGGAATGAACCAGTGATACAACATGGATAAATCTTGAAAACATTATGGTAAGTAAAAAAGCCACAAACGAAAGGCCACAAATTGTATAATTCCATTTATATAAAATATCCAGAATGCGCAAATCCATAGGGAAAGAAAGTCAATGAGTAGCTCCAGGGACTAAAGGGGAGAAATAAGGAGTGACTCCTAATGGGTACTGGGTTTATTTTTGGTGATGAAATGTTCTGGAATTAGATAGTGATGATGGTTGCACAATTCTATGATTATACTAAAAACCATCAAAAACCCTTTAAAAAGGTATGCTTTGGTCTGTGAATTTTATGTCAATAAACCTGTTATTTAAAAATAATAATAACTACAAGCAATGTTGGCTATTTTCACACTAATTTTTACATGGGACACATATACAGCTTAGACTATACCCAAAGAACAGGACTCCTTCTGAAACCCACAAGTCCGCGTTTGTTTTGGATTCTACAAATTTATTTCAACACCATTCCGTACAGATTTTAACAATGATGATGATAAACACTCGATACTGAGCAACTAATCGGGTATAGTTTCAGGACGGAGGGAAGGAGGAAGAGAAAGCAGCAAAAAGAAGGAGATAAGAAAGCATAGGTATTAGGTGGAAAGTCCAAGTTTCAACACGGGTCTGTTGGACTCCAAAGCCCCCGTTCTTTCCATTTTATCAAGTTCTCTTCTCTCACAACAATTCTAATAACCATTCAGTATTAGAGCGAATATTTCAAGAGTGTCTGGGAAAGGAATTATATGATTAAGAAAGTAATCAGGGGGGCTGGTCCTGTGGCCAAGTGGTTAAAGTTCCATGTGCTCTGCTTTGGCAACCCAGGTTCACAGGTTCAGATCTCGGGTGTGGATCTGCTCCACTCATCAGCCACGCTGTGGAGGCATCCCACATACAAAATAGAGGAAGACTGGCACAGACGTTAGCTCAGGGCCAATCTTCCTCAAGCAAAAAGAGGAAGATAGGCAGCAAGTGTTAGCTCAGGGCCAATCTTCCTCAGCAAGAAAAAGAAAGCACATTCCTACAAGGCAGTATCTTCAAAAACTTTAACAGCAAAGACAGATGTAACAGGCTGCACAGAGATGTGTCAGAAGAAATGGATTTACTCCTCCACCTGCCTTAGCAAAGCCATATTCTTTGTTCTTCCCCATCTCTCAGATAAGGCTATTTGGAACTCTCCAGTCCTCAGAAACTCCCTACCTCTCTGAAAGTGGCCTATACTTAGTGACAAAGGCTTGCTTTCCTTTTTAATTTTACTATGTACATATGTGTCCCTTCAAAATGCATTAACTCTGCATGTTTTTGGATTTTTCTTTTTAAGATTTTATTTTTCCTTATTCTCCCTGAAGCTGCCAGGTACACAGTTGTATATTTTTAGTTGTGGGTCCTTCTAGTTGTGGCATGTGGGACGCTGCCTCAGCATGGCTTGACGAGCGGTGCCATGTC